AATAACCGCCCCTCTCGAATAACCGCCCCTCCTAACATGAAAATTTCCTTAAGCGCCCCGTTTGAATAAGCGCCCCCTCATAAGATTTTCTTCATAGCAAGTCAATAATCCAATCAATCCTGGGACTGTGGTTGTTGGCATGAATTGAGCTGTAGAGTGAAAACACATTCTTCTTCGGTCAGTATCAAAATGAGGATATTTCTCTTGGACAGATGAGACAGTATATTTTCAACTTTACTCTTTTTACATATTTGTCTATGCCTAGTCCTAAATATTCACGCATTCTTGTCATGAGCCATGTTTTCTGGACGATTATCTTTTCTAACCACCATTCGTAATGTCCTTTTATAATCTTTTTTCATTCAAAAAGTGCCTCTTGAATTTAATAATTTCCATAAGAACCCCTCGATTTTCATCTATTTCTATAAGCGCCCCCTCAATTTCCACTCTGTTTTCATAAGCGCCCCGTTTGAATAAGCGCCCCTCAAAAAGTGCAAAAAAATATTTTAAGCGCCCGTGCGCTTATTCGCGCGAGTACGGTAGTTAAATGCTGTAAAATGTAATGACTCTTGGTTTGGTACAGTATTCGCTAGTGATTACCTGTGTTGTTAAATCACTGTTAATTGCTCAATTGCATTGCTTCATTCAGAGTCTTGGTGTTGTGCTGTATGTGCTGGTATGTGGTGCTCTTCCATTTGATGCCAAGACACTTCCACAACTCAAGGAGCGTGTGTTGGCTGGCCGGTTTCGGATTCCATATTTTATGTCATGTGGTAAGTTCATGGTCAACAGATAATGTTAAGTTGGGTTTCCATACAATCACTACACACTATCAGGGACAGCATTCGGTGATGCTCATTGGTTGGTTGAATTGGGAAGCCCTCCCTATTTTGTTTTGGATTGCTACGCAGTAAAACAATTGCACTAAAAACACTGTATCGACAGTGTAGCAATTGTATGGAAACCAGACTGAAACTGGTATACATTAACATTGGTCATTCTGTTGCCTTGTTTAATTGTAATATTCTATGGTATAATACATCCAACTAAACTACAAATACTCCAAACTATATTTGAGCTCAATAGTAAATTACTGTCAGTGCACCAGGAGTTTCAACAAACTTTATTATTCCTGAACATAATAAGACCTTCAAATAGTATTTCAAATAGTATATATTCACTGAGCTAAAACTCTGGAATATGATCCCTATTATTATTGCTGATTCATCATCCAAATAAGTATTCATACCAAACAATTTATCTATAATCAAGTCAAGAAAAAATAATTAGCATAACATAATGTTATAGTAATTAAGTTTACTTGGAGACCAGGCCCTCCCATCCAGCTGTCCTGATTGCCAATAAGGAAAGTAAGAATACGAATGAATATCCATATAATAAATTTTATATATCCTGAAAAAAATGTCAACCACCTATTGTATTTTTTCTTGACTTGTCTTGTTTTACCACATGTTCACCAGGATATCTGCCATTTACCACTTTGATGCATCATAACTGAACTAAGATATCCATAGATTGGTATGTTCATAGAATTAAACTAAGTAGAGTATACTGTACATACTTAGTTAATGCTTTGAATGTGGCCGGTCTTCAACACGCTTTAATCTTTGCTTAGAATGTGGGCTACAGTAGTTCTTTAATAATTTTTTTATTTACTTAGAATGTGAGCATATGATTCGCAAAATGCTTGTAGTGGATCCATCAAAGCGTTACACAATGCAACAGATACAACAACACAAGTGGATGTTGCTACATGCTGGCCGTGAGCCTACACATCCTATCGTTGAAATTCCGAGACCTGTTGGAGAATTCAATGAAAAAGCATTACGACTGATGGGAAACCTTGGTATTGATCAGCAGAAAACGATTGAGGTAAGTTCATTGTGCATTTTACCTCAGTTATTCAGTTCCTGATGATATAGCTCTTCCTAATTAAGCAAGGGTACCTACTGTATTTATAATAGCATAAGTGTAAATTAAAAATAATGAATTAATGAGTGTATACTGTATAAGTAATTGTAAGCAAAATCAGATTATTTGATGAGATTGTGGCTATGTGCACTAATTCTAATTTAATCTTCCTCATTTGTTACAGTATCAACCGTCATTAATGTCATATTTTTACTATTTCATTCTGTTTCATGTTGCATTCAAAAGTGTAAAGCCTGGTTTAATGTACTCATTGATTGCACACCTTGTGTAGATGAGTTTATTATTCCCTGTTTACTCTTGAAGTATTGGCTATATTTAATGTTATTCTTTATTTAATTTTTGTCTTCTAGGCCATTCAGAACAATCTGTTTGATCACTACACTGCAATATATTACCTGTTGGGGGAACGGTTGAAGATGTACAGACACACTTTTCCTACAGACACAAAAATAGAAGCAAGATCAAGGAGGCCCAGCTCTATAGCAGATCATGCAATTGTACGACAACAACTAGAAAAGATATCATCACATACAGCACCAGGTTCTGCATTGCCTTTTCAGACAGTTTTAACGCATCAAAAGACTAGTGGACCTTTACATGGATGTTTAAGAGAATCAGAATTAAACACGCAGCCAAATAAAGGAAGCGTTATGTTGGAAGCTATTCCTCAACTTTACCAAGCACGCCGTGTGAGATCAATGTCACCAAAGAACATGGTCTCTTCAATAGATGAGGCCAATGAGATTGATATGTCTGAAGGACAAGTGGAGGTGGAGAAACCATGTCAAATATTACATCCACCATTAACTAGTTACTCATTTGATTTGCCGAGTCACACAGGTCCAAGTTTGAGTGATTTTGGTTTAGAACCCGATGCATTCAATGGATCATTTGGTTCTGACGAAGAAATGGAGATTTTGCACAATTATCCACGTATGTCCTCAAGGCAAAATATTGTTATACATTCAGCATGCAATTCACCAACAATGTCACCATTAACAGAACACAGACAGTTGCAGGGCAGACGTCGCATGTCTCGAGTTCAAGAAAACGTACAGACTGGTAGCAGAACATGTTCACAATCGCCAATTTACTTCCGTGAGGGTAGACGTGCTTCCGATGGACTCTTAGCACAGGGTATAGTAATGTTCCGTCAAAACCATAATATACCAAAGACATATGGCATGTTCGATATCCATCAGAAAGAACATGACCAAGAATGCAATATTGCAACGCAGGAACTAGGCCAGCTTGCCTTACTACAGACATCATTTACTGAGGACCAACATGGAATGTCTGAGAAACAAACTAATAAATTAGCAGCACCTTGTTTTAATAAGCAGAGCTTTCAAGATTGGCAACATGTGCATGGAAAAGTGTTAGATGAGTCTACACAAAACTGCATGAATCCACTTGAAACTGGTTTAAACCAGTCATGTAATACTGATCCACAGAAACTAGGTCAGATTGGTAGTCCAACTGCCAGAAGACTTCAGCATCATTTGATGCAGCAGAAATTGATTCAAAAGCGTCAACAGCTTCAAAAACAATCTCAGTTAAGTCAAGAATTTCAACAGTTGAATTTGGTGAAGCAAGCAAGTTTTGAGAGGCGTCCACCGCCACCAAACAGAGCCGATTCTTACAAAATGGCACAGCAACATCCCATTGACCCACATATTCCGTCAGATAGAATATCAATTAATGTTGCTGAAGACTATAAACATTGCATCCATGGAACTAGTAATAAAGTTAACGAAGATGATGTAGAAACAATGGATACCTCAGATGTTTCGTCTTTACAAAGTTCATATTCATTTACTCCTTGTTGAGGAGGCTGTGTAGGTTTTTTAGGGAAATAATAAGTAAATGGAGAAAACAAAAGAGGAAATTGTAAAGTTTTTAAGGTAGGCCTATGTGAAAGAAAATGTGCATTTGTTTGGTCACATTGAATGAATGAGAACCTTTTGTTTTCATGTTTTTTTCTTTAATGGAGAATGTAATGATGATGTGGATAAATCATGTGACTCGATTACATAAAGTACAGTTGGATGTGTTGAGTATTGGAACTTTCTGTAACTGCGCTGTGGTGGTTACGTCATAACCTTTGTGGTTATTTTTTACGATACAGCTTTTTCTCATTGTTTGTTCTGAGATAATGTTGTTTTAGGTGCTTGGTACAGTATTAGAATGTCCTGCCAACCTACAACATTCTCAATATTTCTTTGTTGTTTTACTCAATTTGTAAGTTTATTCATTGATGACTCATTTTCCATCAAGTATGATAAGTGAACAAATCTCAGAAGGTTGAATAATCATTTGCAATAAACATGTAACATTCTATATAATATTAAATTTGTTGTCTTTGTAGGTTATCTTTATGGTAACAATCAAACAACTCAGTTAAATGGCTTTGTCAAGGATGTGAGTGGGTATTAGTTGTATAATTTGTGTTGCATTATACACTATGATGTTGCATCTAAACTGATTTCATGAAAAGATGCATTGGTTGAAATACAATGAAGACTACATTATTTCAGGTAGTGTGTGCTATATAAATAATGAATTTTCATTTTTTGTGACTTGTCCAAGTTTATTTGTAGATTATGGTAAAGCTTTAATTGCAACTCAATAGAAGCAATACAAATTATTTTAAAATATGTTTTAGTTTTACAATGAAGTTGACCATTAAAATTATAAAGTAGACCAGTAGCATAGATTACCATATATGGTGCTTCATTAATCCATTACTTGTTGCAGTTGTATCTCACCAATTGAGTCTAGATTCCTCTGATCTCTTCATGTTTAAAGTATAGTTTATAAGGGACATGTCAGTTTTTACATGTACACACACGCCCATACATGTACATTGGCCAGGGATGTGGGAATTTTTTTTTTATTCCCCCTCTGATAAATCAAACCACCACCACCTACTTCATAATATAGTATCAAAGTGATGCTGAAATTCACCATTCACATACTAGAATCACAGTTACAAAACAATTTACTCAATCCTACAAATCATGTCAGTATAAACAAAAATTGAAATTGTAGGATCTGGGAGACTCTCATTAAGACCAGGGATCACAAGCATGTAAGCCACCCAGCAAATTATGTAATTAATGATAATTTGAAAAAGAATAGATTCTCATTAGAGCTCTGGTCCTGGACCCCACCAAGGTGCCAAGTTTCTCCCATGACCTCTGATACTCGAGATGACCTCTGATACTCGAGATGACCTCTGATACTCGAGGGTATAGAGGTTATATGGTTGCATGCCTGTGGATACTCATTCAATTGTACCAGAGTGGGCACCCTTAAGCACCTTTACACACATTGACTCTTATACAAATAAAGCACACACAATCTATTATTTCTCCAATTTTCTTTGGTTAATTTGTGTTTAATAGCCTACATTTATGTAAATTTATTATTTTTTTCCGATGTACCAGTAGGGTAATATTTTATCCACAAAGTAATTCTTTTTAACTGAATTTTAGTCCTGCAAGATCTTATTCACACATAGTATGCTTCAGTAATGCAAAATTATAGTCGCATCATTGAAAAAAATCCCCAAAAATCATTATAATTCCCAATAACAAACACCACTTAGATGATTTTATGTATCACAAAATTTGTTTTGACAATGCTAAATGAAAATTTGTGTTTGTATGTTTTAACATGATATTTCCTATGGCAATGTATGTTAACATGTGTTGTCTTTCATAAGGAAAATAAATGGCTAATTTGAGTTGTGGCCAAAAACAAAAATAATAACATTAGGTCAGTAGTGTAAATGTGTAATCATTTTATTTTACATTATTTGTATTTATATTCTCACTTTACTAACTTTTCATTCATTTTACTTGTCTAATTCATAGTGTAGATTGTAGCGTTACACAGTTGTACTGGTATGTACATTAATGTAGCAATACAGGTTCTTTCTTAAACTGTAAATGTTTTGTGCCCCTTGTAGCACTACAACTGTAATTGTTACATTAATGTATCACTGTGCAGTTTTTTATCCTGTAACTGTAACTTGATGTAGCGCTATGCAGTGTCTTACCCGTAAATACTATGAACATTCATGAGTTCTGCACAGTGTTTTATTCTGGTATGTACATTGATGTAGTGCTACACAGTTTATTATACAGTACTGTAAATGTTACATGCATTTATGTAGAGATATGCAGTTTATTGTACTGTAAATGACACGTACATTAATGTAGCGTTACACAGTGTTTATTCTGATGTATAATCCATACAGTGGTGTAGCACTATGCAGTTTCTTTTACTGTAAATGCTACAAGAATATAGTGCAACTGTTTTAGTTTCCTCTGGTTTATAGATTGCTGTTGACGTCATCGATAGTTGTTAAAACGTTCGTTGAAAATAATTCTAATACAGACGTTCGTCATGACATTATGTGAGTCAACGTTTTACGTCAGAACAAAAGTGTTACTCGTATTTCTTGTTGGACGCATTCTTTTCACTTTGAAACGATTGCCGAATATTACGAGAGTATTATCTTAAAGAGAACTATATACTCACCACATTGAGATACTTTTTCTTCTCATGGAGGTTGAGAATTTTATTAAACCGGATTTGAAATCCGGCGATTGTCGTTCAAACTGTATTATTTTAATTTATTATTCTCTTGTCAATAAACACATACAAACATGTCAAAATGACGTGGTTTCTCTTGTTTATAATTCTTTATGTAATGTAATCTAATCTTTAAAAAATGTGATGTTATTTAAACGATTTATGCCGTCCGTTTCCGATTAAAACAAATGCTGCACAATAATCAAAGAAGTAATTAGTTCTGAAGTATAAACGACAGATACAATTATCATGGATTTTTTTTTGTTTTTTGACAAATCAAAATAATACAGGCCTACTGATAAAAAAAATTACCGTATTAAATATCAATTAATTTCGCCATTGTTACCTGCGCCTGTGCGCATAAATTTGAAATCCCAGGTTGTTCACCTCCTTTCTAGCACGATAACTTGACGATATGTCATTACTAATTCTTAACATTTGGCGTCTTTTAGCCTCAGCACGCTCATTTCTGAAAACAAGACGTAAAAGAGCGAAATGAGTGCGTCAAAGGTTGAATAAACGGAAAATTTAGTATTATTTAAATAACAAGTTGTTGACATTATGCACACAAAATTTATGTAGCATTCCTGCATCATGCAATCATTTAACATTAGTTCAATGAGAAAGCTGAACGGCGATTAGTGACGTCATAGATTGAAGGCAAACAATATTCAAACGTACGCAACGACCTATGATTCATTTATGATCAATTGATAATAACGTAACGATGCCCCACGATAAACACTTGCACGTGATTTAAGAGTGACCTGTACATCTCACCGTTGCCCCGCAACCCATTAAAGTTTTGAATTGATGTCATGGTACAGTCAGAAGAGTGTGATTCATATTTTTTATATCTCAGTTTTTCTGTATTTATCGTTTTTTTAATTCCTTATGAACTTTTTTGTATAATTACGATTATCGCAAGACAGAGTGATCTCTTTACGTGTAACATTTCACATTATTTAGAAAACAACTCAATTTGTAACTAAGTCGTGGCCAAGGGCGAAATTGCAAAATACAATTAGACCTACAACAATGAGAACAGTTAAAAAACTACAGCAGTAAAATTATTTTTAAAGACCTATAAAAATCTCTTAGGAGATATAGCTTGTTTGTTTAAAATGCTTGAAGAGGATGTATCACATTGATGGTTCGCATGGGCGTCGATCGGTGAGAGACAGGGGAACGCGTTCCCCCACTTTTAAAAGTAGGGGGGACATCATATCGATTGTCCCCCCACTTTTCACCAATCTTCTGTAATTAAAACCCCATTTTTAAAAGCGAATGGAAAGAATAAACAATTACGCATGACTCATGAATTTTGTCTGTTCACTTTTCTAAGTGCGGTACGTAATTTCCGGACCAAAACTGAGTAAAAACGCAATTATTTGTACATTTCGTAACCATCTCAGAAACCACTAGATCGGTTTTGTTGGGTGCAACGGTTACCAGAGGCTAAATTTATTGTCAAACCAATGTACTGAACGTTGTTAAAATTGGAAGCATGTATACTTATTAGGCCAATATTCTTACAAACTCAAAAGTGCACAATTTCTACTGTAAACATTTTTTTCCTTTTGTATATTATTATGACCCGTACGTATATACTAGTGTTTAATATTACCTTCATACATAGGATTACTGTTTTTCCTAATTTCAAAAAAATCATAGGTCGTCAATTGAATTTCATATAGCCATTATTAAGCAATTATACAGCCTTTGACACGGATATGTCTATCTATTCAGATTAAGTGATAGGCCTACCAAAAATTTACAAACTCCTGTGTTACGTTGACGAAATCTCGCAATGACGTCATAATAATCAGTGGTGGATTCGTTCAAGTGGGACCGAGCCGACCCTAAATTTTTCAAAATTATTTTTAAAAAATGGAAAAAAAGGGAAAATTATAATTAGAATTTAGGTCTGAGAGTGTTATTTCTGGCAATCTAGGGGTGTCATAATCATGATTTTTTCCCCTCAGCCCCGACCATGGTGGGGCTGAGGTGATCTACCTTCCCAACGTACAAGTCCCTCCCTGTCCCCCCCTCTAATTTACTTTCCTGAAGCCACCACTAATAATAATAAATTAAGAAATCACCTTTATGTTTGTGAAATCAAAATGTTAACTAATGTTTGTGTGCTCCCTATCTCCTTAGTCCTGTTTGATCGTAAATTTACGGTACCGTACCGTATTATTTCCACTCACAATAGTTTAGTCGCAATATTACTTACACAAAAGTGAAATTCAAAAAGAGGTGAAAAGCAAAAACCTCTTGATTGATTTTAAAAGTACTGTACATGTAAAAGACTAAATTAATGACCGTTTTAATTTTAGGCCTATCTTATTTGTTTTTCATAGTTCGAATTTTGAATCAGTAGATAATAAATCATTATTTTTATGAATGTTAGTTTGCACGAAATATATAAGCGAGCATAATTATGACTAAAAGGATAATTTTAAAAACTTTTTATGATGAGTATTTCAGTGGAAGATTCAAAGGAGGCCCAGACGCTCCATCATTCCTAATTCTTTTTTTTTATATAATCATAAATTTTCCAACCATGGTGGGGCTGAGGTGGCTACACTCTCCTTCCGTAAAAGTCCCTCTCTTGGCCCAGCTCTATTTCAAATTACTGGATCCGCCACTAGATATTTTAAAAATTTCGTATGGAAATATATGTTAATTGCATTGCTTAAAATAAATTAAAAGGCTATACGCGCCAGAGCTTCCAGGGGCTTCTCCCCCTGGTCCCCAACCAAGGCTTGGTCCTACGGCCCAAGGCTTTATTTTTCATTTCGTCCCCCTCCCCCCTCCCACTTTCAACCACGGATCGACGCCCTTGATGGTTCGGCGTGGAATCAAGGTGGTCAAATACTAGTACTGTATCGGCATACACCTTAGTGCCATGGTACGGCCTGCGGGTCAAATTTGGCCCTCAAAATAATTTAATTTGGCCCACGAGGAAAAAAAATATAGTATTATAAAAATAGTAATGGGCCTATATAAAAAAAAAATAATATAGGCCTAGGCCTTATAATAATGGTCGACTTCGATCGCATATCGTGGAGACCTCATGCGCTTAATATAAAACGTGAAAACAAACCGAACCAAGAAAGTACTTAATGTGTAACCCTTATACAGACATGCTAAACCTACTCCTAAACGAAGCATTCAAGTTTGCGAGCGGATGGAGCAAACAGACGCTGGGGGCCAGGGGAGTGAGTGGTCCGAGCTTATCGCATTTATGAACTATACCGCAAGCAAGACAGTTTAGAGTTTATCTCGTTCGGCGTGTAACATTATAGGCCTATATATAAATAATTTCTTAATTATATAATTATATAAATAATAATTATATATATAATATAAATTAATAATTCTGCTGTAAATGTAGATCTACAACACATAATTACCGTCTAATGTGTTATTGCGTGATCATAGACAAATGCAAGTCTACTGGAGTAGAATATTAATAGACTGTTGAGAATGTTGCTTCCATTAACTTATAGTCATTTGGGGGATGGGATGGGGCGTTTATTCGAGGGAGGCGTTTATCTCAATGAGGCTCTAGAGAGGGCGTTTATTCGAGGGGCGTTTATTCAAAGCGCCCGTTCGTTCGAAAAAAAAATACGGATATTCATATAAACGCATTACCACAAGCAAGACAGTTTAGAGTTTATCTCGTATATGTAGGCCCTATATATAATTATGAAATAACGAGCCTATAAGTCATTTTCTGAGAAATAAAATGAAACTTTGAGTTGGTTTACCATGGATAATCGTAGGTGTGCACTTTATACAATCAGGCTCCTCTAGGTAAGCGTTATATGGGCACCATTTCCGTCAGGTCATGAATAATTCATGTCGATTATAGTTTGAATATTTCTAGCGTCAATAAAATAATGTTCACTTCCTAGAGGGCGGGATGTATTTTCTTGATTTCGAACTTCTATTTCAATGAGTTATGCATTTTAATAAAATATTATTATTATTATTAACGGTATTATCAATACCGCCTAAGAAGTCTTTGGTCTCTGTATACTGCAATTAATATTTTTGCCTCTCTCAATTTCTTTTATTATTTCTTGTGTCATAAATGTAATGTGCCTGATCATGTATTTTAACCGTATTTATTCGAATAACCCCCGCCCCCCTTGAATAAACGCCCCTCCTAAATAATAATAATACCGTACTCGCGAATAAGCGCCCCGTTTGAATAATAATTTTAAAAAAGTCAATCATACAGTACAGCACATTGTCGGTCGGTCAGTCCATATACGGTATCCATCTGTCGGTCTATCAGTCTCCATTAAGTTTAACATGATTTTCGGTTTTGATGCATCTTTAGAATCCCGTTCTTATTTTATTGCTACCATTTTTGGATTTAGAAATACCAGTACAGTATTTAATAGCTAAAAATTAAATTAGCCTATTTTCAGTCAACAAAAATAAACTAACCTCATCACTCTCGAATGTAAGCAACCCTGCAATGATCCTGCTAATCTAAATTGGCAACACGCTTCCCACCACCAGTCCAACACCACCACCACCACCACTATTTCATCTGCTGTAGTGTAAATGCCCCCGATTCTTGTCATGAGCCATCTCCTAACGATTTTCTTACCTCTTCTTCACCAAAACCATTCGTTTATCTTCGATTAAAAAAGTGCCCCTTGAATTTTCCAATTTCCCATTAGCACCCCTTAAATTTTCATCTATTTCCATAAGCGCCCCCTCAATTTCCACTCTGTTTTCGTAAGCGCCTCTCAAAATAATCCAAAAATTATTATGTTAAGCGCCCGGGCGTTTATTTGCGCGAGTACGGTAATAATAATCACTATTTTTAAAGCGCAAACATCACCACCAAAATTGATACAACAGCAGAGAACAAACAGGAATCACGAACATCAAGAAAAAAAGAATTAGAACGCCTCATTTGCAATAAACGTGTTTATTTTTGCCTCGAATAAACGCCCTCCTAAATGACTGTAAACAAATCTAATGGAAATGAAAGCAACATCATTCTAAACAACTTTTTTTAATGTTCTACTCAATTAAGTAGAATTACAATTTTTCTAGCCTGGCGGTGATCAATAAGTCTTGGATACGCAGTAACACATTTTGACGACGGTACAATTGTGTTGGTTCCACAATCAGTGATATAAAGGGGGGGGGGGTTATTATTCGAGTATAACCATTTTACACCAAAATAAAATAAACGCCTCCCTCGAATAAACGGACTCCCTCTAATAAAACCTTCTCAAAAAATACACGCACCAGGTCGTGTATTCGAATAAATGCAGCATATCACATAAAAACATACTTTAAACCCGGATTGTAATTTCTTTTAGAAAATATCTGGGTATCTGTAGTTTATATAAAACAGGGTACCGTTCCTGTTCAATTTGTAAAAGGTGGCTACTAAACCTCTGTCAGTTCTTGATAGTATTGTGCCTATCCCGACAATAGCATTGGGCGGAGGCAAGTGATTTTGGAGTCTCACCCATGGACCTATTAATCTCACATTTCGTAAAACTTATATTTTTTTCGATTTCTTCGAATTGTGTTTTTCCTCCCTGCATGGCAGCTCGCCCACCATCATTTGCACCACCCTCCGGCTTTATTAATCTTTTTTTTAAATCCATGAACGATATTTAGGCCTATTTGGCGTAAACGTTTTCATAGGGTCGTTCACAATTATCAACATTTTCACAAGTGCACAAATGGCTATTTTCGGTAAACCCTCCCGCCCCTCTGAAACGTGTACAACAAATGTTGATTTTTGCAAAACCATTCTCCATTTTTTGTGAAGCCAACTAAAGCAATACCTTCAAACAATAAAGCAATATACTTGGTTGCTTAAAATTGAATAGGGCCTATTATATCCATGGTTACATTATAATTTTACCATTAGGCCTGTTTACATATTGCATGTTATTTTGAATCAACATTTTTATCCATAATGTTGAAGTATACAAATTTGTTTACCCCTCCCTCCCCCTGCATAACCTACTGTTTGTACACTTGTGAAAATGTTGACAATTTGAACAACCCCTAAAGCGAGAAGGTAGCATACATAAAATATAGTACACAGTGATGAACGCATAATATTATTGTGCTTTCACACGTAACAGGCCTATCAGTGGACCGGAACAGAATTATTTTGGGTAAAATAAGTAGGGCCTACAGTAACCATTGGACGTGACCTTGGGAGAGGTTTTTGCTTAACGTATTATGGTATTTTATTTACATTTATTAGGCCTATATTTTATTAAATATTTATTCAATGTCACAAGAAGGTGATTTATACATAAGGCCTAAAAAATTGTTTGTTTCCCCTCCAGAATAGGGGAGGCGTTTTTTTAAAAAAGTGTTTTTTTTTCGATTTTTATTCACAAATTTAAGAAAGTGACCTTTATTTTTCTTCATTTTGTGCATGAAAGTTTGGTGTCTGATATAAGGTATCACCATTCTAGGCCTAAATTCATTCAAAATATTGATTAGCCTACGCTTTTTTTTTTTAATTCAGTCTGATCAGGAAACAGTGAAATTACACTGTTCCTTGGTTAATTTAGGTGACAAAAAAAAAAAAAAATTGTTCCCGCCCCTCCAATGCAATTTCAGCATTAAAGGGCAAACAAATAGTTCGTTAAGGCCTAATATAGTACAGTGAACGCATGTATAAAGTATAAGTAGATGCACTTCCACACGTCACAACAGAAGACTGAACAGATTGGGTAAGTAAGGTCTAACCACATCCACTGGACGTGACCTTGGAAGAGAGGTTTATGCTAACGTATTATGGTATTTTATTTACACTCATTATATTTTATTAGACATTTCCAGTGTCAAAAGTCCTAATAAAATAATTTGTTCAGATACACTTTTTTTTTATATAAGAACCAGTAAAATTTTTTTTCAGGCTCAAAATCTTTTACTTTCGTTTGTTCTTATTTATACACGCTTTTCAAAGGTAGAAAATTATAAGACCTATTATAATTGTACAGCAGTATCTTACTGTACTGCATTATAGAGGATATTATATAAAAAAAAAACATTTTGACGTTACCTCAGCTAATTTGTTCTTATTTTCTTATTTTTTAAGCAATTTTTAGCCTCGGTGTTCTTGTAAAATGTGTTTAAAAAAAGTGTTGTAGATGTATTATGGTTATCTAACACTTACGGACATTGTTTTATCCACTGTCTTTCTAGAGATTCACGTCTGATAACGTTTTAACATCATAAATAATGAAACATAAGTTTTTCGCGGAATTTTGAGAGGAAGTATGTGTCACCAGAATGTTTAAAGAGATGGAACAATGACTAAAAGGTCAACTCTTTCCTACCATTCCTGCAACGGTACGCATGCCCACAACTGCAACAAACACCATCATCTAACATGGCGACTACGGGGTCTCGTGGACCCGTAACTATCGGATATTATGAAATTGAACGAACGATAGGAAGGGGAAACTTTGCAGTTGTAAAATTAGCTACCCATGTTATCACAAAGGCTAAGGTGAGTTGGCTTTTGGTGTATTTATATGGCCTTGTATGAGATGATTGATAGGAGGACATGTCATGACGTTAGGTGGCTCATCTTGCAACCCGAACTGACTTGGGTTTTCTGATGAGATTGATGATGATGTCAAATATTTGTGTCCCGCTATAATAACCCCTTTGCCGAAAATGACAATTAAAATACTCCCCATTGATCCATTGAGATTAAACTGCTTGTGTGTATTTTGAAACCACAAACAACCGTATATTTTGTGGGGGAGGCCTATGGCTTCAAGACAGCTAGGCTACCACCATCAAAATGCTTAAATTTAGGTCGACAGATAGAGGGGGAATTCATAGAGGGGCCAGGGCATAGGGCCTAGCCTAGCTGCCCAGCTGAATCCCGCCCAGGTTAGCCTAGACCTAGGCTAGCTAGACCTCCATGTCACGCAGTGGTGGTATTCCTAGGCCTACTGCAAGTTAAGAACTAGGCTATGCCTCTAGCTAGGGCCTAGACCTACCTAGAAAGATTGTTGTAATGAAGGCAAAAATACATGTTAAAAAAGATAAAAATTATAATTAAAAACTCCCCTCCCCCCCACACACATATAGCCTAGGCCTACATACAAACTCATATTCACCATAGGCCTACATTGTTTGCTGTAATTTAATTATTAGAGTAACTATGAAATAATATTTGGGAAATTTGTTAAGAGAACAATATTATAACTTCAGTTAAAGAGATTATTAATTTCTAGATGATTAATTTCCTTTGTTTTTTTATGATAATGATAATTGTTAAGATGTTTATTGTGTTAGATATGTCTAGATACTTTTCACATTCACCAGATTTTCTTATCCACCTGTTCACCAGACTACTTACATATACATAGAGTGATGTATAGTACTTTAGATTACCACATTCAGTGCTTCATACACTGTATCAGGAAATATCGTGTAATAAAAAAAAAACATGTCCACCATTACAGATTCTATGTCGCATTCATGTTAAACAACCAAGATCGCCACTAAACTTTTAGCCTACCATGTGCCCTGCATTTACCACATTCTGGACCTTTACCACATTCAGCACCAGAGTTGGTACATTTACTGAAATTAAAGACAATTGGGCCCAAAGGATCAAGCCCAGGACGATTGGGTCCATTTTCAGGGAGATTGGTCCTAAAAATGGCCCAGATTGTTCTGGGACTGATAGATTGTCTTGTGGCCCGATCATCAGACTTGGGCAAAATCATTTCAGCCCTTGGCTGTCGTTTGTATTTGTAGCAAAGACAAGCCAAACCTGTCACTTGTCGCAAATTGTGTTTCAGAGAAAATGGCCAGAACATGCTGGAATGTTTAATTTTTAAAAATCTATTTTATTGCACTAAACTAACCTTTATATATGTATACATCATGCTATGCTGTTATTTTTCCCATTTTCAATGTTAAAACAACACTTTTTAAGGATTTCATGAAAGTTTCTACATGAGAAATGCACGAAATCATAAACTTTGAAGGCAGATTTCTCATTTATTGTTCTGTAAACAGTGTATGTTTAAATGCTTGTAACTTCATATGGAAATGTCGGATTTGAACGATTTTTTTACCATTTTAAAGGTCTCATTTTACTCTTTAAAACTGTATTAATTACTCCAAAATCGATTTTTGCAATGAGTGACTGGTTTGGCTGGTTTAATAAATAAATATGATCATTTTAATTACGATTCTTAATAATATATTTATGTTGAAGAAATTTAGAATGCAATAATGCATCGGAATGAAAGTTCACACTAGGTGGACTTAATCATTTTAGCGTGGGCCCGATTGTCCACAATAGTTGGGCCTGATCCACTGAAAATGGGCCCGTTCGTCCTGGGCCTGACAGTCTCCGGGGCCCAATCGTCTCCTGGGCCCATTCATTCGTCACTTATTTACTCCTTGTGCTAAGGTTATTAAATCTAATGTTTCGTTGTGGAAAAATATTATTAAAAATGTTTACTGATCTTTGTATCCAGATAGTTAATTTTTATTTACTTCTTAGGCCCAAGGTCAAGGATCTGCCAATAAATAATCACTATACTATAAGTGATGTTCCTCCACATGCTCTACATAACCCCTGTCTCTTATACACTTTTATTAATTATTATTATAAGAACTAATAAGAATTTTATAAATATATTTTGTGTTAATATTCAATCTTGACTTTTCTTTGTTATGTTGGCAAATATCTTTTTTTTTTTATTTAACTTGTGTTTAATATTGAAAATGGAGTCTGAGGGGCACACCATATCCGGTGCTCATAGTTTTTGTACCGCTTTTGCCACTCCTCTGCCCTCCTCTTTCCTTATTGATTTTTTTGTTGTACTGTGCTGAAAGGGATAAAATTAAATTAAATTAAAATACTTTATTTAAACATTTACAACTTTGAAATCACTCCAAGAGTGTTCATCAAGGCTGTGCAAGGCAATGAATTTTAACTGAATGAATTAACACAAAAATAAAATTAATTCACTGTTATTGTAAAATATCAAGGCAAACAAGCCAAAATGAATAGTTAAAAAATTTCTCATTTTGTGATACTTATTTTTCATGTCATCAACCAAATCTAATCCTTTATAAATTGTTTTTGTTTTATAGGTTGCTATCAAGATTATTGATAAAACACAGCTAGATGATGAAAATAAACGTAAAATAGAAAGAGAGGTTCAAGTGATGAAACTATTACATCATCCTCACATAATTCGACTCTACCAAGTGATGCAGACTGAGAGGATGATGTATTTGGTAACAGAATATGCAAGTGGAGGAGAGATATTTGGTAAGTAGAACATGTTGCATCTATTGCTACTGTTGTATTAGCATCTTTTCATGATTCTAAGTTGAACAGACTTAATGTACTGTATACTAATGATAATAATAATAATAATAATAATAATAATAATAATAATAATAATAATAATAATAATAATAATAATGCTACAAATAGTAATAATATTTTTGCATTATATAGGCTTGCTCTTTACCAGTCTCACAGCGCTTAAAAAGTACATGATTTTGTTGCTGTTATTCAAGCTTAAATTTATCAGCTCTGAAGTTGGAATTGTAAAATGTGGTACTCTATAGATTGTAAACTTTACTGAAGTTAAAATTTAATAAATTTACGTACCGAATGGTGGTTGTAATCAGGAAATGTTGTAAATCAGAAGCTTTTATCTTCGTAAGCAGAGGCAAATTAAATATGGATTGATTTTGTTCGCTGTAAACACCAACGGTAGCCCAGAGAAGTCTAGAAGAAGACTTATTTCCAGTGGGGTCCTTCTGGTGGTGATTAGGCAGTACACCGGAGACAATCCCCTGCTCTTTTCTGAAGAGTATACTACATTCTGTAACGTGCAGATGGGCCATAAATAAACATGGGACCAACACCTTAAAGGTCTCATCCAAAAGACGGTGCGCTATCGTAACTTGGATCACGGGGAGAGGCAGCGATGGGAATTAAACTGGGGACCTACAATTCTCCACGGTTCAGCGCACACACAGTGGCTACCAGTGCCACCAAATTAGCCAGCTGAGCTAGCTGCTCTCTCATATTGAAATTTATTTTTCAAGTGAATTTTAGCTCGTTACAGATGATGTTTACATTTAGTGTATGGACATTCATTTCTAAGAAATAATTTCCTGCATTTGTTTGCTTTATATAAAAATTTGTTGTAATTGTATTGTGAAAGTGAATAAATGTTAAAAAGAATAACTTGAAAATCACTATTAAATCAAAAAATATTTTGAAAGCGACAGAGATATTTTGAAAATCAAACTGAAAAAGGAACCAAACTTTGTTGCTTCATTTGCCTTTTATCCGTGCTAATTTTAAATTGAAGTAATAGACAACAATGTATATATCAGATTAAATTGTAATTTTTTAATGATTTTTTTATTTCCTAATATCACAGTCCCTATCATATGAACAGCATTTGCTATTTGAAGGCAACGTTTTTGAGTAATTCTCTAAATATTTTTGAGTTGAGCCAATGTACTGTCATTCATCTTTTTTTTCTGTTATTGAAAATACAATTACTGGTGAATTTTGGTAAAATTTGGACTATGCTTTGTAATTTCAGATGATGTGTAGGGTAAATTTAATACATAAATAGCTGCTGTTAATTAAACCATAAACACAATGTTTAGGGATAATCAGAAAGTCCACAATGTAGGGGCAGTTTGATAAAGGCACATAAAGGATAACAGTTGATTTCAACTGAGATGTTCACCCAGGTTAAATAAGAAATAAATAAAATAAATTAAGGGGCAGTTGCCAAGGAATAAACAGTTTTTAGTGATTTTATTGTTAAGGGAAAGTTGCTAAGGGATAAACAAAATGTTAATAATTTTGGGATATTTGCTGAGTGATAACAGAAAATCATTGATGTTGTGGGTAGTGGTAATTGGGTTAAATAGTGATGGGCTTGTCATTTTTTTTATTAGTCCCTGTTAATCGTTTTGATGCTTTTTGGAATATAAGTTAGTATCCCTCAGAGATTGGACATTTTCCTTTTGTTGTGCCTTTAAACATTATATTTTATTTTATTTATTTATTTCTTTATGATGTGAAGCGTATAGAAGCTTTTTCTTGCATTATTATTATTATTATTATTATTATTATTATTATTATTATTATTATTATCATTATTATTATTATTCTACTCTTCAAAGAAAAGGAGGAAGGGCCAATCTTGTGCCTTAGTCTTTATCCAATGCTCAAGTACATTTCAAAGCGATTGCTGACACAGATTTAATGGCCACTAAAGCTACGCACTCACTGAGCACTACATTCGTCAGCGTGACACAATTCTACAGAGAACGCAACATCATGATGCACGTGCAATGGATCGTTATTAATGATGATCTGTTCAGACCACCGAAAATCAGTAGACAGCATTTTTTTGTTTAGCATTCACAAGGAGGGATGCAGCGAGTGCCTGGCTTAACACTTGAGAGTCGACTTTTAATTGTGCAGTACCTGCTTGTCATCTGTCAGCAGTAGCATGTGAAGTGAAGTAGACATTAGGGAGCTATAGATTGCACGATGACGGTAGGATGTAGAATGTAATGACGTCACTAAAAGTTCTCATCGTGTGGATTTTAGGACGCAATTTGGTATGACGGTCATGCATGAATGGACGGTCATGCATGAATGGTTCAGTTCTAGTGTTTCGTTGTCAAACAAATCGAAAGCTCCTTAATTAATAAGGAACTAAGACGTAACAATAACTTCATGAATATTTTCCTGATTGCTTTTTGATGTTTTTTTTATTCTCTCTGAATTCTGAAGCCTTCCAGTTAAGTTCATTATGCGATATTGTTCTAAAAAGGATATAAAGCCATATAAAAACATGAAAAGTAATTATATAATGTTTTGAAAGAGGTTCATCAGCTTGTTGAGGTAAAGTATGAGGTCTTCGATGTGGTTTGATTAAGTCGTAGTTACTGTAAAATCTGTAGAATGTCTTAAAAAAAGATTTGCAATAATTATGAAGTCTTGATGATTAACAAGCCGTAGAATATCTTTCTTTTGCATGTTCAGCCAGTGACTTAATGAGCCAGGGAAGAGTAATCTGTATTAGATTGATGGCTACTCAAGTAGTGCTAGGCAGAAGTCAGGGGTACCTGCTAGGCCCTTCTTGGAAAGTGGTGGGAGGACAGAATTCTGCCAACTAGAAATATTACACAATTTGAGGAATTCAAGAAGTCATTGAACTTCACTTTTTAACATTCTGTCAAGTTAAATAAGGTTATAGAGTTGGTGCCTGTGTGTTGCTGATGCCTTCCTGACTCTGGACAGCGTCGTTTTCTTTCTGCAGTTTAACGGTAGTAGATCCTATGCACTGTGCAAAGGTAGAAGCTTGTGCAAGTCGCTGTATCTTTGAGCAAGGCACTTTATCTACGTACGTTTGTCCCTCTCTACCCAGGAGTATGGGAACCTGATGGCATACATTTTAATAGTTTTTGTGCGCTGAGTACAAGTGCACAACTACCTGTAGGTATATTTCCCAGGGAGCATAGAAGGTTGTACTTTAGTACTGGTTTGCTGTTGTATGTTATTCAGTGACCAGGGGCAATGGCGGCGGAAGCGGAGGGCCAGGGGGTCATTGGCCCCTCCACTTTTTCTACTGGGGGGGCCCCTGTTTCCCCCCCCACTTTTGTGACTGTTCCCAACACCAGTGACAACATTTTACGAACTCTGCAATGTCATTATTATAGTATTATTGTTGTTATTATTATTCTTATTATTGTTATTGTTGTTATTGTTATTATTATTAGGCCTATTATTATTTGTTAGGCCTATTGTTATTATTATTATTATTACCATTTCATGCTTACACCTTGTTTATTTGCGCCTTATAAATTGACCTATTATTATTATTATTATAAAATATAGGTTTTTTTTTCATTTTCTAACAAACATTACAAGTTCCATTTTTGAGTTGAGCAACCAAATGTTGATTGACGTCTGTATACGTACATATGTAAAGTTTCCTTGATAAAGCATGAAGAAAAAAATCGTCTGCATTTGTGAATTCTGTATTTAGACATGGGGAGAGGTAGACACTCTTAATGGAGCGATGTTCTAGTTCTCTTTATGCTAACCACGAAGATGTATAGTAAGTGTAACTGATTGGCTTACTGTAAACCTTAAAACTAGTGTAATATAACCACATTTAAACTCCATCTAATTTAACAAAAACAATAAGATACTTAATTAGTCCATTTTCTAAAATAGAGTTCTCTGAAGGTTAACTACAGAATTTACAGTACACTTACTGTAATGTGTATAGGTTGTAAAAACTGTATTGAGTAAAAAAAAAATCTTTTGAATAAAAAGTCTTTCGCTTGACATTAGGAATTAATCATTTGTGAAACAAAATGACAGGCTATGTCAAGTCTTATATTGGACAGTGGCAGATTCAATGGGGAACCCAGTCAGCACGGGACCCCATCCTCCTATTTTTCCCAAAATTTAAACAAATGGAGATAAAAGACAATATTTTAATCAATTTTTAATCCGAGAGTGCCATTTCCGGCCATCCAGAGGAGCAATTATCTTAATTTTTTCTTACCTCAGCCCCAAAAATTATGGGGCTGAGGCGGGTGGACATTCTATTTGCGCAAGACCCTTCCTGGAACCTCTCTATTTTTCGGGCTACATAGAAGGATAATTTTTATCCATCGGGGGGAAAAGTGAAGTTTTCGTCAGGGAACCCATATCAAGGATAATCCTCATGATAAATGATCCATTGAGGTCGTGGAAGCAATCTCAACTTTGACTTTGTTTGGAAATCTGTGGCGCATTCAAGAGGGCGGGGGGACACTAAATTGTTAATTTTTTTTTTTTAATGGAGATATAAGGAAAATTATATTTAAATTTTAAGTCTGAGAGCGTAAATTCCGGCCATCTAGAGGTGCCATAATCACAAATTTTCTTATCCCAAACATGGTGGGACTGAGGTGGTATAGATTCTCCATCTGCTGAAGTACCCAGTGGCGGATTCAAGGAGACCCGCCACTTGAATCATTCATTGATCATTCATTTGGAATTGGTGCTATATAAATATTTGGCATTATTATTATTATTATTATTATTATGTAGGATGGGATTAAAACTTGAGAAGCAAAAAAGGTAGACAAACCTAACCTACAGTACTGTAGGTTTCATTGACTGTGATTTATGCAACTTCCAATAATGATTTACAAAACGATGAAAAAAAAAAATAACATCCCGGGCTACAATGATACACAGAGTTTTAAGATAGGGTCATAATTGTTATCCTTCCATGGAGTTATCACTACTTTGGGTTTTCTTATCATATGTGGAGAGATTTAAAAGCTGTTGCATCCCAGTATTGTTTGGTACATACTGTATAGAATTTCAAATACATGTTTTGTAATAAAATCTAGGTAGATGAATGTTTATAATGTAGAGGCTTATATCTTTGATGGTGGTAATATGTTTTTTCTGATAGTGTTCAATGCAATATGAATTTGAAGGTGGGAAAAACCTTGGTAGGTTTCAAAAGGATTTTGCAGTTTCCATTATGTTGTTGAACTATGTCAGGAGTTCAAATCACAGGCTTACAATATGTTTCACCCCTAGTATTTCATGGCACATAAATTGTGATAAAATAAACCTCTTACGAAATATTAGATTCTACTGACTGGGCAGCACTAAAATTGGTCTTTGTTTATAATCCATTCATTATGTGGAAAATGATAATAAGGAAGTTTGGTACTTGGTATATGGTTAATTTAATTAAATCAAACAAATAAATGAATTCCAATGTAACTTATTTGCTACACCTACAGTACTAAAAGAGTGATTTTGATTTGAAATATATTTCCTTTTTTAAATTAATAAAAATGTCAGATCAGTAGTTACCACATTCTGCTAAGTGTTTCGTATAATGTTCATTTTTTTGGCGTCAAACATTGTTGTCTTTCCTTGTAAATGCTGTTATCGTTACAAGAGATCAAATTTGAAAAGATTTGCAATTGGTGCCTAGTATTAAGATGTGTATAAGAGACAGTGTTGAGGTAAAGTATGAGGTCTTCGATGTGGTTTGATTAAGTCGTAGTTACTGTAAAATCTGTAGAATGTCTTAAAAAAAGATTTGCAATAATTATGAAGTCTTGATGATTAACAAGCCGTAGAATATCTTTCTTTTGCATGTTCAGCCAGTGACTTAATGAGCCAGGGAAGAGTAATCTGTATTAGATTGATGGCTACTCAAGTAGTGCTAGGCAGAAGTCAGGGGTACCTGCTAGGCCCTTCTTGGAAAGTGGTGGGAGGACAGAATTCTGCCAACTAGAAATATTACACAATTTGAGGAATTCAAGAAGTCATTGAACTTCACTTTTTAACATTCTGTAGATAGTTGCAGCAATTGACTACTGCCATTCTAGACACATTGTGCACCGTGATCTGAAAGCAGAAAATCTTCTCTTAGATGCAAATAAACAAGTGAAAATTGCAGGTAACATTAACAGTCTTTGGTTTTATGCTTCTGGAATAATAATGTATACCGTTATACTGTTCCATTGTTCCATTTCCAGAGGGTGTATGGCGCCAAATAAAGAGTGTCGCATTAAATAGAAAAACAAAAGTGCATGGTGATTCTGGTTCCGGTTCTGATTCTGGCAGTTCAGGAAATAATGACAGTAGAACTTCAATTTTACGTACGGTACAGGACCGGAGGGCGTACGGGACCAGAAGGCGTACAGTACGTAAATCAGGGATTTGTAAAACTAAGATTGGGTTAAATTTAACTAAAGAACATGAAAATATTGTAAGATTACCTATTTGACAAAGGTTTAACTTGTGAATTCCCCTTCATGGCTTTTCTAAACAACAGAGCTGTGGTGTTGTCTGGGCCTGTTGAGACAATCTAAAACCATGTGCACTGCAATGGGCAAGCCATGCCAAATAATTAGCATTAACATGCAAGACTGTACCTACTCAGCTTAGAAAGCTACGAAGCTACTGTAAGTAGGAAAGAAATTATTTTGAGAAATGACGGTACTCATCTCTTTGCATATGGTTTGTTTTATTGTTATAGTATTGAAATATTAAACACACAGAAACTAAAAAATCTCTTTTTCTACATGGTGGCTCTAAAAAGGGCCGTTTGAGTATTTTGGGGTTTTTGATGACATCATCCATACAAGGCATACGTTGCAAATTTTTACTGGTAAGTTTATCCATATAAAACCAGCTTAGCACCAGGGCCGTAGCCTACGTTACGGTTAGGAATTCGGAGACATTATGGTCGTCGTCAAATGTTCAATCTACACAGTTGTTCAATAGATAATTTATGATATCTCTTGTATAGAAAGTAATATGGAACCCATAAAATATCGGTTCTCTGATCCCCGACCTTGGAGGCCCCTTGGCCCACAGCATCAGTGCTCGTGCTTCGATCGCAATCTGACCACTTTAATTCTCGTGGCTACGGCCCAGAGCGCGCAAAGTGAAGTGTTCCCTCTTTTAATTAAGTTGAGTTCAATGGCTTCAAAAAACAAATATACATTTTTTATTTCTTTTGTGGGGTCGTCCCACTTTTATTCACAATTCATATCTGGCATAAACAGTTACTGCATATCAGTTTCTCATAATGGATAAAAAACAAATATACATATAATCATAGCCTAGTCCTGGACTGGAACAGTGAAATGATGTTCATTTTTGAAAGAAGGCCAGCCTAGTCTACCTAGGCTTAATAAGTGTTTTTTTTTAATACTACCAACACACAATATTTACTGGTTGGTCAGTTATTTTTACTGGTAAAATTGACGGCTAAAAATGGCTTAGGGAGAACACTGAACTGTATGTATTTATTCAATTCAATTTATTCAGGTACCTCTAAATGGAGAAGCACATAAAAACACAAATAATAAAGCAAACAGAATATTGAATTGAAATATTCTTCACAGTGGCATGTTATAACAAGTAAATATTTTCATGTCTATACATGTTTTTTGCCCTTCTTATAATACTATTATAATTTACTGATTATTTTTAGATTTTGGATTTAGTAACTTCTTCCAATCCGGACAGTTACTTAAGACATGGTGCGGTAGTCCTCCTTACGCAGCCCCTGAACTATTTGAAGGCAAGGAATATTCAGGGCCAAAAGCTGATGTATGGGTAAGTATGGATGGATTTATTTGGTGTAAACACCAAGGATAACCCACAAAAGTCTGAAGAAGACTTATTTCCAGTGGGGTACTTCTGGTGGTGATTGGGCAGTACACTGAGAGACAATCCCCTACTCTTTTCCGAAGAGTGTACTGAGTTCTTTGACCCGCACATGGGCCATAATGCACACAGGACCAGCGGCTTAAAATCTGGTCAATAACATAGTCATCATGATCATGATGATTAATAGAAATACACATTTTTATGAAGAATAAAAATACACGAAAGCTATACTTCTGACTTAAATTTGATTTACTCTTTTAGAGCTTAGGAGTGGTTCTCTACGTACTTGTTTCTGGAAATCTACCTTTTGGTGGTGACACGTTGCAGAGTTTAAGAACCAATGTATTATCCGGACACTTCAGGATTCCATTCTTCATGAGTTCAGGTGAGTCCATATTTGTGCACGTCTGTTTCATATTACTATTAGCATCTCAAAAAAATCTCCAACGAGAGCTCTTTTGATGTGACACGACTACAAACACAAGGAGTTTTCAGCAGAAGCTCTTTTGAGTCTCATCTGGGAGTTCATCTGTCTTACTAAAGTCTTCTCTACCAAGGTGGTATCACTCCAACAGAAAATTCCTGGCCAATGACACAACTCTTAGATTGGTCCATGCGTTTGTCATGTCTCGCCTTGACTCCTGCAGCAGTATTATCGTCTCCCAAACACAGAACTGTCCAAAATTCAAAAGATCGTAAACATCGCAGCTTGTCTAATAACAATGAGCAAGACCATACGCACATATCACACCTAACCTAAATGACCTACACTGGCTGTCCATCAAGAAATGGCTCATTTATAAAGTTCAACCTATAACCTACAAAGCAATTCACACTGAGGTGTTCCTAGTTACATCAGACAATTAATTACCATTCAATGTTCTACACATAGATCAAGATCATCCTCATAGTGTAGGGTAGTTGTGCCTAAGACAAACACCACATGTTTTACATTTGCATCATCTTACCTGCGGAACAGTCTTCTTGAATATATCAAGCCTTCAGCAACATTATTAAAACATATCTTTTCACAACATAAATTGGCTTGCATTTTCTCTTGGGACAAGTTGGGGGCCCCTGTCTTGGCCGCCATTCCTAAGAACCTGTTTGCCTGTGGCAGGGCAAATGTGTATCCCGTTCCTTTGCTTAAGCCACCTAGGTACGGGTCCAGAATTGTGCTAGGGTGGTGGCGATGTTATGCCTTTATTTCTTTTTTGCTTTTTGTTTTAAATTTATTAATTTAATTTAATTTATTTATTATTTTTATGATGTGAAGCACATAGAGGCTTTTTTGGATTATGCGCTATACAAGTGAAACATTATCATTATTGTTATTAATATTATTATTGTTATTATTATTATTATTATTATTAATATTATTATTGTTATTATTATTATCATTATTATTATTAAGAATATTATTAACATTATTATTATTAAGGAGTCCTTATTGAGGTGGTACAACTCTAACCCAATTACTCTGAACTAGAAGCTAATCCATTGAGATGGTGTGGCTCAAATTCTACCAGAAGCTTATCTGTTGAGGTGATTTGTATCTACTTTAAAACCAAGATAATGTTCGCTATTGTATTTTAATTTTGTTATTTTATAGATTGCGAGAATTTAATACGACACATGCTTGTATTGGATCCACAAAAACGTTACAGCACGTCACAAATTCTTCAGCATCGATGGACTCGGTCAGGAGAGCCTGATCCTGTATTTGATCAAATGATTGCTGAATATAGCAAAGATAAAGTAGCTGAAGTTAAGGAAGAACTCAACGAACAAGTTCTGCATCATATGATATATGACCTCGGGGTCAATAGGGAGAGAATACTACAGGTTTGTCATTTCGTCCTTAATTTACAACTGCATTGCAAAAGTCTATACCTCTTTTTGATTACTGTAATTGTGTTTGGTCCGACTGTAATATTAAACTTTTAAATTCGCTTAAAATACTTTTAAATGGATTAGGAAGAATTTTACTTTCTGCAGACATAAAAACCCCAGTTGTAAACATCTTAAGTTTGTTAGGGTGGAGCAAACTCAGTGATAAATGGGACGAACAATTGCTCATAATGATTTTCAAATGTTTAAATGGTCATGCTCCATCATATTTATCGAAAAATTTTGTTTTTAATTATTATTTGCATGCGCATTGTACTCACAGTCAGTAAAAATACACTAAGTGAATACACCTGGAATAATATGCAAGGTAAAAGAACTTTTGTATACCGATCTACTAAATTATGGAATAAACTCGCAGATCATACTAAAACCAACTTTAAATCTATGACACTTTCAAATTTTAAGCATTCTATTTCTAATCCTCAATAATACCATCTTAATTTAACCTAAATTTTCTCTTACTTTGCATATCCATATTTATTATTTAATTTTTTTATTTTCTTAATTTTCTTTCAATGTTCCTTTTAAATCTATTTTAATTTGTAGTTAAGTTATCCACCTTTTTTGGTTACCATATGTATATATCTGCTTTTAAAATTTTGTAGTTAAGAACTGAACCACTTTGAAAACCAGTACTATATATTGAAAGTGTATATTCAGTATAAAGAAAGAATAAATAAATAAATAAATATGTAATGATAGACTGATTGTTTGCCATTTTTTCTTAAATGAACACCTATGAAAAAAGTGTTATCCCAAGTTAAAAGTGAAGTTGAAGGTAATGTATTAATTGTTTAATTGATTTTTGTTTTAGTCTCTGAAAAACCAAATGTATGATCAGGCAAGTGCAATATATCATCTTCTACTGGACAAGCTGAGGCGCCACCAACAGAAGCCACATGAGTCACATGGGCGAACATTGCATAAACAAGTTGTTGCATCCTCTAGAGAAGATACAAAACGTGGGGGTCGTAGGTCAGGTGTGACTCAGGATTTGATTCCAGAGGTTAGGTTTACAGATCCACAAAACCATGTGATACAGCAGGTAGGTACTCATTACTCATTCTTGTAAAACAAATTAGGGGCTTTATAGTAATTTTATTGAATTATTAGACCTTACATTGAAAACAAACAAAAAGAAAATCCAGTCAGCGAATATTTCTCAAGGTGCTGGCACCTGTAAATGTCCTATTCTTATTGTTCTGATCTGCCTTTTCAATCTGAAGTTTATATTATATTTACTCTTGAGTAGAGCGACAGGTTCCTAAATAAGTGTATTTATTTTTTTTAGTCACAAGAAGGAAGAGATAGCGACAGTGACACAGATGACCCATCACCAGAAGCATTAGCACGCTATCTGCAGATGAGACGACATACACTTGATGTTGGCAACCCAAGTTTAGAAGTGCGAGATGACCGGCGTCTTACGATACTGCACCAACAGGCACTTGAAGCTGGATTCCAACATAATACATTGACTCCTGTTGTCGTTGATACAAACCTGCCGCAGAACCTGTCACTGTTGATGTCACAGAATGACTCCCACCGACGCATTACTTACAGGGTACCTATACTACACCTTCTCTAAAAAAAGATTGTATACTAGACTCTGTATAATAATAAATAATAATAATGCAATACTGCACGTGATTCAGTATTCTCTTCTGTTGGAAGCTAATACTTCAAATAGATGTATTTAGTCAACCAGGGACGCATTTATGTTGGGTGGAAGTGGGCGCTCCCACCCAGCCTTGGAAGTTTCCACCCAGTCTAAAGCTAATTTCATGGCCCTGTACCCACCTTTATTAACCCCTTACTCATCCTTAAAATCCACTCTTATTATTAGAGTTTACTAATGGTATCACCCACCCACCCCTTAAAATCCACTCTTATTATTTAGAGTTTACTAATGGTATCACCCACCCACCCCTTAAAATCCACTCTTATTATTAGAGTTTACTAATGGTATCACCCACCCACCCCTTAAAATCCACTCTTATTATTAGAGTTTACTAATGGTATCACCCACCCACCCTTAAATGTCTATCACCCACCCTTAGTTTTCTACAGCTACAACCTTGTCAACCAAGTGCCATTAGGTGTATTTCATACCATTCTATTTTCTGTATGTACCTGCAAAATCAATTATTTTTTTAGGAGCAAAGTTTACTTGGACCGCCAGCAATGGAGGCTACCGGAGGACAGGGTAATTTTGTTCGCAGAGCATCGGAAGGCAGTGCAAATATGCAGATACAACTGAACCAATTTCACCATCTGTTACCACGAGCAAGTCAACCTAATAATATAAACAACTCCACGCAGGTAGGAACCACTACAAAATTTGACTTTGGAGAATAATTTGGAGTGGAGTTGAATAGCTTGGTGGTTAAGGTGCTTGCTTTCCAGTCTCAGGGTCCTGAGTTCAATTCCTGTCACGGCAAAGTTTACATTAAGTATTGAACTAAGCAGTGATGGGGAGGAGTTTATACTAAGCACTGAATTAGGCTATGAAATAGAGGAGTTTGTACTAAGTACTGAACTAGGCACTTTACATTGAATAACTTGAATTGAATTTACATAGTAAAATACATAAAACAATACATAAAATATATACAATGGTTAAATAATTAACCTTCTAATAAACAATAAATTTTTAAAATTACGTCTCCAAATACTAGCGATAAAAATTCACAAGAGATTCAGGTGGAAATCGAACCTACAACCTCCAGGTATCTAGCTTGATGTCTTAACCACTAGACTGCCGAGCTTGCGCTTGGTGACTAGTGATGAATCCGATCCCCTAGTAGCAGCAGGTACTGCAAGGGATATAAATATGATATTTTCCTGATACAAATTCATATCTATTTTATAATACAAAGTCAAATTATGGAAAAAAGACAGGTAAGAGGAAAATCACACATGAATGAACATATTGATTGTAGTTGGTGTTAACTCGTTAGTTATTAAGATTGTCAATTTTTTCCAGCAATTTGGCAGTGATGGTGTATCACACCTGTTAACATCAACTACCCATGAAGAAGGAGAATCAGATGAAGAACCAGATCAATTAGAAGTCCAAAGGTAAGTAGATTACTTAGATCCATAAACCAAACATTTTTTCCAAAAGTTTCAGATAAGGTTTACACTGCATAAAAAAGTTGTTGAGATGAATGAATGAATGAAGGGGAAAATCTTATAGGCTGATTGCAAAAGTTCTATGCCACATGAAATAATATGTCTATTCCCTCTTCCCTAGATACCTACAGCAACGTGGTCACTCTTCACGGCATACAGTTGGTCCAACAGAAATTTCTGATGATGTACGATTTAATCCTTTTCACGATCGTTATCACCGCTTAGGAATGGCTGGAAGTTCATTCAGGGATCCTAATGCTTTGTATCCTCCAGAGAAAAAAACAGGCAGACGGTTCTCAGATGGATCTCAAAGCATAAATACCTTTTTGATGAGTAGAGATCCAAATAGCCCCAATATTTGTCCAATGAAGCAACTACAAGATATTATGAAGTTGCAGCAGCGAACCAGCCCACCCATCAATGCAGAATTGCAACAAAAACAGCACTTGCAGCACTTGCAGGTAATTTACAACCACTACTGCTATTCAATGTTGTTTGCGGTTTTTGTTGTAGGAATTTTAAAATAATGATCATTTTTTTTTGTTATTGGTATTACAGCAACACAATGTAACCTCACAGTCCTCAGTGGATTCCCTTTCACACCTTAACACTGAAGTAGACATGCAGAAGAAATTCAGCGGTCTACAATTAACACCAGAGACTGACAGTAAGCTTCAAAGTCCAGCACAAGCAATACCAAGTAAGACGCACAACTTTACAATTGGTGCCTCTGAAGGACAGTGGGGTTCCCCAAAAGGAGGCCCACTATCGAGTCAACTGTCCCAGAACACAAAGCGGCCGAGTCCACAAACAATAATAGAACTTGATGATGAGCATGATGTTAATAGTAGCTCAATGGACACAAGCTTAGAAAGCCAACAAACAATGTTTGGTCAGGCACTTAGCAGCGATACGCATTCTAGATTAACAGATGATGCGACAGCACAAGATTCACAAGTGTATACATATGGTGGTAACTCTTCTTGCATGGCATTCTACCAGCAACAACAACCGGTTTATAATTTTCAACCATTGCAACATCCGATAGTAACTGAACCACAGCCCATGAATTCATCACAGACAGGGATACCGACACATCCACTACAGTTAACGCAACAAGTAGGGAATAATCCAAATGTAGCCTACAGATTCCCCTTACAGCAAGCATCAGACGTGTACGGGCGTCCTATGATTAATGGGCCTATACCTGAGCATCATGAATTCCAATTTTATAGTGAAAACTCTGAAAATACTGGCCTAGAGGACAGTATTGCACAGAACCAGCATAACCCAATGGGATGTGATGCATATGGGCAAGTGAGTATGGATAATGAAGAAGTTATCGATGGCATGGAAGAAATAGACATACAAAGCACAGGTAACTAGCTTTGTTAATATATTTATCTTGTAAAAAGTTACAATTTAGGTATTGTCTTAGCTATTTTTCCTGTCTGTAGTGGTGTCAGTTTTCATGTCTGTAGTGGTGTCAGTTTTCATGTTGTAAGTTGACAGCAATAACTTGAATTTGACAAGTCAGTTTATTCTATAAAGTGTAAATGCTAGGATTTTTATATATCCTCATTGAGTTATCAATGTGACATGACTTTCACATTTAAAATTTGTGAATTGTCACATTGTCTTTGAAATTGTTGATATTTGTAAACTATCTTGTAAATGGTGTGTTGTCAAAAAGAAAACAAAAATTGAACTTGAACTGTAAATTATCATCATTATTATCTTCATAAACATATCATCATCATGAATATTATCTTTGTCATCATTATTAATATCATCATCAATATCATTAATATTATCATCATCATCTTCATCATCATCGCCGCCATCATTCTCGTCATCTTCATATTCAGTCATCACATGTGTTGTGCAGTGTAAGCTAAAACGTTTTGTATTGTATGTAATATTAAATTCTTGGTTATAGCACATAATACTTAAAAGTCCATATTATGAAATAAAATCCAATAACAAACAGTTTACTCTAACTTGTATCACATGATGATCCTTGTTATATAATTACAGAGCCATCGTCATTATGATCGTCATCATCATCATCATCATCATCAATAATAAACTAATATTCTTGATTCAATGTTCATATCTCGTTTTTGTTGCTCTCTCACTTTTTCTGTCAATCAAAAATATAATGAGATATATTGACACAAGAATTGTCTCTTGACACATGTAAACACAATTGTCATGGTCTCTTGGCACAGGTAGACAATGGATGTCTCTTGGCATGTGAACACATCACATGTCTGTCATTTGAAATGTCTTGAATATATTTGCTTGCTTTCTTCTTGTTTATTTTGCATGATTGATCTTCTTTCCTTAGGGATGTATGGGGCTGTTTGTTCTGGTTCATCTAGTTCTTCACTTTCACTACCTTTTTATGTTCATCATACCATCCAGATGCCAAATGACGTGCAGGCTCAGCTTTTACAACGGACAATACCTATGCCGTCTGGTGAATTAAGGCATTACATAACCAACGATCATGTGATGCAATCCAATGACCGTTTTTCTTTTGGAAGTATGAGTTTCAGCAATCCAGATATGTTGAGTGATCCCACCCCAGTTGCTAAATCTTTTTCAATGACAACCTCCAAAAACCTTAATGAGATTATTGTTGAGATAAAGCGTGCTCTGGATACGAAACATCCAAGTCTTATTTATGAGAACAAAGCAAACTTATTTGCCCTTCAAGACAATGGTGTCAAAATAGAGATGGAAGTCTGTGAAGTACCTGGTCTGCACCTGAATGGACTCAAGCTACGCAAGATTGCAGGAGACACAAGGCAATATAAACAACTCTGTCAGAATATTCTTACTGCTGTGAAATTATAGATATCTATGGTATACGCAAATGTGTAATTAGTAGAGTAGTAATTATGACAGTGGGTCTGATTAAAAGGTGCTATTGACAGTGGATGGTAAAATAAGAGGTGGATTGTGTTAAGTCAGAGCTGGATTTTCTTAAGCCTGAGCGTGGGATTGTGTTTGAGCAGAGTGGTGTTAAGTCTAAGTGGAATGATGCTAAGTCTGTGTGTGAAGTGTTAAGTCTGAGAGAAATATTGTCTGAGTAAGGTAGAGATAAGTCTGTGTGAAAAATGTTAAATGATGTTCTGAATGAGGTTGGTGTTAAGATTAAGTGGGTATGTGTTAGGTATGTGAGTGGCTGTAAATGTAAAAATTAGTGTGAGAGGCAGGCTTTATGAACAGACCATCAATAGACCCCTAAATTTGATAGTTGGTCAAGCGTGGCTACTTTTTAATTGGAAAAAGTTATTCAATGCAAATTAAAATTAATCGCATTAATATTATAACCTTTGCTGCCTTAATTCTGCTTTTAAAGATAATTGATCCTAACTTAAATAAGTCCATGTTGCATAATGTGAAACAGGTAATTTTTGTGTACCTAACCCAGTCTAGTCACTTCACAGATGTACCCAACCAATCCAATCACATGTAGATTTACCCAACCAATCAAATCACTTAACAGATGTACCCAACCAAAACAATCACATATAGATTTTTCCAACCAATCAAATCACTTAACAGATGTACCCAACCTATTAAATCACTTAATAGATGCACCCAACCAAATTACCTACAGATACAGTTCACCCAAATCATTCATTTTGCAAATAAATTCCAGTATCTGTATAATAATTAAGATACGTTATTATTATTTTTACCCTATTTTGGGAATAGTATGTATATTCTGGGTTAAGAACAGTTATTGATGTAGGCCTACTTTAATGCTGATGGTAGTTCTTTTAACCATCTCTATAATATAATTCCTCTGTCAGTATTGTCTTTTCTGCTTGGTTTTATTTTAGGGCTCCCTCTTCTAATTCCATGCATGACCCCTCTGTGATACGACAATTGTAATCATTAAACGCTATGGAAATTCTTCCGACATGCCATAGTGCATTATTTAGATACCGAGACTGAAGTTTAAGTTTAGGGTCAAGCCAGCTCCACAAATCAACACCTCAGATTTACATAAAATCGTATTATTAACAGCCATCATTAAAGGCTGATATGTCATTGTAACTCTGAGGAAAATTCAAATGCATATTTACTTGAAGAAAATTCAAATGCATATTTACTTGTATATAAACCCCTGCCACCTCTATCATTACCATTTTTTGCTCAATAGAACAGGGTATTCAAAATTGTGTCCATTACAGTATAAATATTTAACTTTTTGCCATTCTGATGAATTATCTGAGCTCCTATTTCAGCCATATTTTACTGGGATACTTGTATTGTGTAAGCCAACCAGGGCCAATGTTTTTTCTATGTTCGCATCTGCTTTATTGATATTGTCTTTAACCCTCTAATAATATAATTAGTATTGGGAAAATAACTGGTTGGGTTTCAGTGGCCATATTAATATTTACAACCAAGAGCAGTTTCTATATGTACTTTACAGCGTTAGGATGCTTTGTGTTAGTGTGACTCTCAGCATATAAAACATGGATTACTTGGAAAATGTAATTGGACTGTTATATATTTATACATTATTATGATATTTAAAAAGTATATTTGTTTAGTGTGCTTTTTTTAAAATAACAATTTTATTTAAAATGTGAATACTCCTTCATGTAATTAACTGGTTGAACCCTACAAAGACCAAGAGCCAGTCCCTTCCTCTTCCTCCTCTGTGTTGGTAAAAGTAATGGCCCTAATTTGACGTTTGTAAGTGGAGGACTTGATTTTAGTTGCAAGTCAAAACTCAAAGCTCTGGGCTTACAGGCCAGAGTTCCCATCTCCCTTTCTTATGGTGTTTGTGCCAGACTGTTCAATGCTGTGTGGGGTCCAAGCACCCTCGCACTTTTTACCTTTCCAGCAAGTGCCGTTACCATTTGTATTCCTAGGTAGAGAGACAATTGTAGATAAAGTTTCTTGCCTACGGACACCAGTGAAGTGCTGGCCGTGATTTGGCCAGTTACAAGCGGTGGCCATGATTTGGCCAGTTACAATTGCTTGCCGTGATTTGGCCAGTTACTTGTGGTGGCTGTGATTTGGTCAGTTACAGTAGATTTGGTAGCCGCATGGTGGCCCTGATTTGGCCAGTTAAATACAAGTGGTGGAGCTGATTTGGTCAGTTACAAGTGGTGGCTGTGAATTCGCCAGTTAATAAGTGGTGGTCCCAATTTTAATAATGATTCTTGTCAGATAGAATGGATGATTATTTTCCATGTTGACTAAATTTGTTTTAAGACATTTTTGTTACTTTGATGAAATTGTATGGTTAGAAATGTGTTTGTATGGCAATCATTATGACAAATTAGTTATCAGTAATTGTAATATATTTGTTTATTGGTGCTATTGTAGTTGTATCATGGTGCATCTATTTCATCATCCAAACTTTGATAACTAATTACAATTAGTTGATTGTGGGTACTATATTGCATTGTAGGTACAATAAAATGCTGATGTTTCTATAAATAATATAAAATGCTTTTTCAAATATTTTTTACTGTAAATTATAAAGTTGACATTGAAAAGTGATTTTGAAGATTCTGTGACAACTATTGTATCTGACTACAAAACAACATCCACAGATGGGTCGAAGTTAAATTCACATTTAAAATAAGCAAGGCAATTGGCTGTTGTGTTGTATTTTTGAATTTGGCGATTAATGGCAATTTTAACTAATTTGTGACTATCAGCTTTATATGGAGTCATTTTAACATGTGTGTATTGAATCATAGTTTTTAAATATCTGATCACAACAATGAAAAGTGATTAATGAATTGGTCTCTTAAATCATAAAATGGTATGGCACCCTCTGCCTGTGGACATTGAATATACATAATGTCCTTTCGATAGCAACGAATTAGCCTTCTTCATTCAAATCTAAAGCTTATTTCAGGTCCATAAACAGGTGGGGTGGGGGTGTTTCTGTGAAATGGCTAACCCATTCTTGTGGGAGCCCAAAACCACCAAAAATGATCGAATTCACCATACTTACTAGAATACTTCAGCTTCAGATGAATTTTCCCCTCAACCCCACACAAGCTCTTATTCTGTATGTCACAAGGGTGATTAGGTGCCTCCTTAGACCCAGTTTTCATAGGAAACCCCTTTTTATGAATTCTGGTTATGGGGCCTGCATAATTTGTACAGATTGGGTAAAACTGATTATCATTCAGTTAATTTTTAGATGATATTCATTTGGCTTAAATCTTTATCATGTTTTTTTTGTGTTATATTGATTAGTTTCAATTTCTGTACTTGTGACATTGCTAGTGTACTGTATTGTGTTCATTGGTGTTCTATGTATATTGCTTTATCAATTTTTGTTAAGTGATAAAAGCAAATGATTGTGTAAAAAAAAAATCATTTAGTTATGTATGTGGCCTAAGTCATGAAGACAATACATTCAAGGTTCTAAGGTACTTGATTTGCAAACAAAAAAAATTGAAATAGGTTTATTTTGTTAAAACTAGAGAAAATATTGTATTTGAATGACGTATAACGTGAGACTGAGTGAGAGGTAAATTATAGCCAAAACGATGCCTTGGAAAGCCAAGAAAATCACCAGGTTTTCTAAAAATACTTTTGTTAACTTGTTTAGTTTTCTTTTTTGCATGGATTTTGTAAAGCCAAGTTTAAATGAAAGAAAATTATATAAATAATATATAAAGCAGTGAGTGTTAGTAGGAGGCAATAGCAAGCCTCTGATGGAGCGCCCTCAATAGGCAATATTTATAAATGTGATGATTTGCAACACTAATTGCAGTCTATATTTGTATTGAATGTTAAAGTGAGTTCCACCTGATTGCACATTCATTCACCTACAGTATATGCTTCAACAACAACAGACAAGGAAAACCAGAGATCAGGGGCAGATGTAGGTCTGAGGGGGAGAGTTTTTGGGATAATACGAACAATTATAAATTATATCATTCATTCAATCAATACAATTTTTTTATTCAAGGCAGAATAATGCAAACAAACGAAGTGATACAATAACCAAATTAACAATATACGGTACATTTACATTTAAACATTGAGGATAAATGGGTGTAAGTTCATTTTGAGACAAAGTACTGAAATTCAAAGAAACCAATTCATGGTTTGAACTGCACATGCCCATATCCAATTGACATAAACATATGTTGTGTGTGATTTTGACTTGGTACGGGCATGCGCAGTTCAAACTACAAACTGGCTTTTCAAGATGCAAAGTGCTATGTAAAGGAAGTCCTGATGATAAATTAGAAAACACTTCTACAGTAGGCCTATTGCTAGGGTTGGAGCCATTGCAATACAGGCCCAGGCAGGATGGGCAGGTGCATTTTTGCGAGCTAAGTGAGCTTTAGGCTGGGAGCGGTCTAGGGCCCCAGTGGAGTCTAATAGCCCCTGTGGAGTGTGGGATTACAGGGGCTGACCCCCTGAAGCTCCGACAAACTAGCATTTTGAGGGCCTTATTTGATTTCTGAAACCCATAATTTGTGAAAATTTTATTTAAATTTTTTTATGTCCATTAAATCTGTAGGCCTAGAACATAGCTTCTTGTTCATATGGATCAATCTGCAATCACCGGAGCTGATCTATCTCAACAAATTTCGTACCACAGTTATTAAAATTCAGTGACTATAAGAGCTTGCAAATGAAATGCAATGCATGGCATTTTGCAATAAGAGGGAACAATTTTAATGCGTCCGCCTTCTCCCCCCCCCTTCCCCTGCCTAAGGGCCTGCGATACCATGAAACTAATTAACATGTAATACTGATATGGCATAAAGCATGTTTCAATACAGAGAATATCCATTCAAATATCATCTCCATTATTGAATAAATGAATTGTCAGCACATAAAATTCCACTTGCAAATTTAAACTAAAATATAGAACAATATTACACATGTTTAACTACAATAATTAAACTTAGTCAACTCCCTTAAGTAAAGTAAGTTTTAAAATTTAATTATATTTGGTAACTACACAGGTATTTACTGTAGTTGAGTAAGACCTCGTACCACCTTATTTTGCGAGCAAATGCCGCCTCACTTTATCAACGAGCTTTACCTTCACAGTCCTCCTCAGCCGACACCCCCCCACAATTTCAATACCCCTTGATATGGCGCTGAATAAAATGATTACACTATCTCACAATAGGCTTATTTGAATAATAAAATTTAAAACATAAATTGTATAACTGGAAATTACATAATTTTATTTAACATCACAATTAATTATAATATATAAAATATGATTCATCTTTTTTACAAACTTGTACAGTATATAATTGAAAACATTCAGGAATGGGAAATTGATAAATATTAATTGAATTGGTAGCAGACATACTTATCTGCTCACAATGCTGTAACTTTGACTTTATATGAAAATACGCACTGTAAATATTAATAAATATTTCAGAATTGAAGGAAGCACATTGA